TTTTGTCTTATTACGACGTCACGCAATATTTCGATGCATGAACGATTTCGACCTCACGGTCCATGAGGTGTTTGCGTATTGTTACCCACAAATGTGTTCTTTGACTTCAAGGGGACGTCTGATTATGTCGTTTGGTTATTTTTCTCAACTGTCTCAAGCTCATGAATATAATCTGTTCCTGGTGTCCATGTATTCCTTGGCTTGAAAGAGTGTATGAACTTGTAGTGTTGTGGAATGTAGGTAGCTCGTCTTCGTTGCTTGGTTGTTGGTCCGCTCGCCGAGCTTGGCAGTTGGATTTCAAACGTTCCACCACCATTCGAGGTGACGTCGTCAGTGCAGGGTTGACTGCACTGACCCTGCACCACGATGTCACCTCGATTGGTGATGAAACTTTTGCAATCCAACTGCCAAGCTCAGCGAACAGACCAACAACCAAGTGCATGGACTTCTACAAACGGTGACTTCCGATGAGTGTCCTCTCGTTGTTCTGATTCGATTTCCTCGTCACTAATATAGTGTGATGTACAATGGAAGGTCTTCAAAAGGTTTAAATGGGTGCTGGTGAGAGTCCTGTGTGAGAAGTATACAGATGTTATCCTTTTAATATTTAGTGAGCGTAAAAGTCAATAAGTGCACTCCACCATCAAACCATCGGCATGTACTTTTCACCGACAGAGTGTGAAGCCGTGCTTCAGAGCGCGTAGTCTCTGAATATGTCCATCGCGATTCAAGAGGAAGCACAGAATTTCTGATCCAAGTGTGTCTGATAATACCCAGTTCCCATTCGTTACTTCGCGTCATCCATGGCGGCAAAAAGCCATATCTCGTGATCTCGGGGGCAACATTTGTCAGACTCCATCAGTTATGGGACGTAATCTTTCCAAGCAGAGAATCTGAGACGTCTTCAGGTACTTGACTACTGACGTATTGGGGACGTAATTAGTTTTGGATGATATCAGCTGATGGCTAACGACTTAATTATAAAACGTGTGTGCAGACATATATAACAAACTATAAACCCAAAATCTCCTGATCCCCTCATCTTGCCCCTACTGAGTTATTCAGTTTTAATGTTTTCGCTTGGGGAAAAGGGTAGGAACCATGCTACAAAACAACCTACTATGGTCGTGCAAGTTAGGTTTCATGACTTGTTTCAGATCGGTGAAAATCGGTTCGTTTCTTAGCGACTAAAATGAATCTAAGGTTACTGATGTAACTTTTAACCAGCGTTTCCCACTCGCTTACTTGGCGAGTTTGCCAGTGCGGAAGGTTCACACTGAAAAGACGACGAGTCGTAGTCGAGTGCTGCTTGTGTGGTGTTCTGATTTTCCGAACTTCTTCCCGTCCTAGGTTTTGTACTTGCATGAAATCCCTGCAGATCATGGCAAGTAACTAGCCGGGCTAGGGTCTTCCTGTAGTTGTTCGCAAGGCTTGCTTTGGAGGGAGGCATTCCAGGAGGTGTGTCGTTTTCAGCCTGCTGCTTGGGCGGGCTTATTTCAACGCTAGCCCGAAAGCCTCTGCTCCTGATTTTCGGTCGTTTACCTCGGAGACGCCAGTCTTTTTTCAGCAGCGCACCTTTGTCTTCATTGCGTCAGGGTGCTCTCGATGATGATGCTTCCGATGATCTAACTTTGAACGCCATTCTGGTGAAAAGGTGGTCGCTGATAATAACTGCTGGTAGTGTGATTTCTGACAGCAGTGAAATCTCCGACAGAATACAAATGATGCGTTTAGGCTCACTTTAGACATCACTTTCCACGTGTGCTTTTATTCAGTCGTAACTACACTGCTACGATTCTTATCGCAGGCACTCACGCTAGTTTGAACTCCAAATGATTGACTGCTTCACAATCTCAATACTGTTTTTAGTATCAGCCACGTTGCTTCTCCATTACTGCAAGACCAACCAGAATAATCGCGCCAGGACAGGAGTTCTGCTCAAACGAGATTGGCGTGGATAAAAGGAGCAAGAAGCTACGACTGTGCACCGTAATGAAAGCTCAGTGTCACCCACTGTTGCGCTTGCAAGCAGTTTCGTTGATCAGCGCAAACTTGCAATGTACTTGCTGCCCGTCAATCTATACTGGGCTTACGTTTGATTCACAATTGACGTCCCTGGTAGTCATCCTGATCTCTATCTGGGGCTGTGCTGCATACGTGCATTGGCCCAACTCTATCCCAGTCTTAGATGCACGCGAGTAGACGGTTGCCGGGACATGGTGCTTCCCCCCGTGTAATTAATCCCTTATTGGGATATCAAACCCTTGAAACCGAAGAGGAGACGCATATGGTCCCCAAAATAGGTGGTTTACTCCTCAACAGAAAACACCACAGTGATAAGTAATGGCTGTAGTACTCTTTCGGTGCCGAGCTACCGTGCGCCTCGAAGGAAACACGAGGGCCGAGATACTATCCGGTTGCCTGGAAAAGAGCAGTCGAGCTGGCGTGGTTGGGTTTCGACCCACAGGCCCAAGCGAGATGGACCAAGTGGTTAGAGCGCGAATTTACTGACCGGAAGGTCCGTGGTCCGAACCCGACCTGTGACTCTCGACTTCCCCTGTCTAGGCTTGGGCAACCTGGCAGTATTCCAGCTCTCTTGCTTCCTTCAAGTAGCACGGCACTTGGCACTTAGGAACCGAAAGGGTGCCACAGCTGAACGGCTTCACAAGCCTCGCGATCATATGATTGACTCACATTAACGTATAGACTGTCACACTTGGTGTGTGTAACAGTTGCGGTCCGACTGAAGGTAATGAATCTGTTAGGAAGGATCGCAGGTATTCCCAGGATTTGCCATTATTTTTGCTGTTTTGTTAGAATATGCTGTCGCGAGGTATCCTTTTTTGCATTTAACCAGTTGGCATCAAAACTACCTGCTTTTAAGAACCAGAGTGGAACGGTTTTCCCCATCGATGGGGAACGTGCCGGCGGTACTACCGCGTGGTAGGGATTTCTTAAATAATTGCTGCTTGCTGGTACACATCGGTCAACAGCACCACATACCTGATTCTAACATCGCCCTTCGGCCTGGAAGTAGCCTTTTGATCCTTGTTTTGTACTCAAAGTATGCCCTTGCGGATGTCAGCACTACCAATGTGACACAGATAAGTTGCGTTCGAATGCGGAAAATAGAATTCAGTTGTATCTTATGAAGACCTTTGGCAATTACTTCCGGTGTGTTGCTGCAACATTTGTCATTTGTAAACTCGGTCTAAGCTAATCTGTCTGTCCCGTTCGATCGAAGGAGATGCGGTGTCTCATGGTGGTGACCTATTATCCCACACCCCTTGTAAACGACTGTCCTTATGCATTTATTATCTTGGTCCGATGCAGTAGTTGAGTTTGCCTCCTCATTTTGTTCTCTATCACTTTTGTTCAGGGTCCAATGTGCGATTTACTGTGGTCAGATCCGGATGACCGTGGTGGCTGGGGAATCAGTCCCCGTGGGGCCGGGTACACTTTTGGCCAGGACATTTCGGAAACATTCAATCACAGCAACAATTTGACCTTGGTCAGTCGAGCCCACCAACTGGTCATGGAGGGCTACAACTGGTGTCACGACCGCAACGTGGTGACGATCTTCAGTGCTCCTAACTATTGCTACCGATGTGGTAATCAGGCATCACTGATGGAACTGGATGACAATCTGAAGTATAATTTGTGAGTTCACCTGGGTAACACATACTCCTGTTTTGTGTCTATCCACTCTTTTGTTCATTCTCGTTGGTACCTGAGCTTAACAAGGATTCTAGTTACAAAGTGACTATCTCAAACTGTAGGTTGAACGCCTGCTCGTGCATCCGCCAGTGGGAAGATATGGCGTTAACCAATTTCAGCATATACCACTAACTTATTACGGTAATGGTAATATTACTGACTTATTGTAAGTAATTCTGACTTTTCGAAACTCCTGTAACGCTCACCTAGGAAGGGACAACATCCAGAAATCGAGTAAAATTGTTTGGTTAGGAAAAAAACAAACTTTTCAGATTGGGATAATTTCTTTCTCAGTGTACTTTCATATCACGAGGAAGTGTTTCTTTTCCCTCCTCTTGACAGTAAAGCTGACCAATCAAATTACACGAAGGTCACCTCAGGGCCAAGCAATCACGTGTTGGATACTGTTTAGAAACCATATAATTACAGGCAGGAGGGGAGGAATTTACCTACTCAATCCCACACTGACGACGTCACCTCGATTGGTGATGAAACGTTTGCAGCCCAACTGCCAAGCTCGGAGTATGGACCAACAATCAAGTGAAGCGCTACTTTTCGGCATGGATATCGTTGGTGTGGCTGGTGACCACAGTCACATTTCGGTCGGTCTACTCAGAATGCAGCTAGATTCTGCTCCGGACTGAATGCGTCTGTCAACACATGTGGCTCGCGACTTCCTGTATTGAGCAACTATGCTTCCTAGGTTGAAGTACAGAAGGTCTTCGTCCCATCTTTGGAGAACCATGGTTTTTCGGTATAACACACGGTGCAGACTACCCTGTCTTCATTTGAAATCGTACATGGCCGAAAGACATTATGAGAAGGAATAAGGGTGATAACAGTTCGCAAGAAGCTGCTCGTAAGATCACTGAATACTCGACATACCCGAGCCTTATCTTCCAGGTAGACGTAATCGCCCGAGTTTCCGTCAACCTTCTGTTCTGCTTGAGCACCAAAAATGTATTGAACTACACCGGGTCGCACATTAGCTCGGTGTTAACGGGAGGGTTAACTGAATCCATCAGCACTACAGTACTTCGACTATCGCACCAACTGAAACACGAGGCAGCACATCCAATTTAAAAATATTATAGAAAAATGATTGATCCGGGATTCAGTTGAATCTCCCAGTAACATAAAGTTGATTTGCAGATGGGTGTATTTCACAAAACGTAATCCTGAACTACGCAGCATTCACGACAGTTTGGTGTACACACAAAGCTATGGTAATCTTTGGTTCGAGTGTGTCATTCTGGAATGAATGGTTTTGGACCCACTTTTTCAATCTATCTTGAGAATAATACCGGAAGTAATGTAGCTAAATTCGAAGCATTAGGCTTGAAAATGTCAGATGGCATGCCGTCACTCCTAAGTTCAATGCGTTCTGTTGTATAAGCCGTGTAATAGTGATAGCAATAATAATTGTAATCACTATAATCAATAATACTGGGAACAAACCAATGTATGGGCTTGTTTTTCAGTTTCAGTTTACATCCAGGCTAACTAAATAGACCATTTGCCGGAGGTTGTGTGCATTTTATTGATTAGTCGCTGTTCTTGCATCTTCGTATGTCTCTCCCCGCCTCTATCTGAAAAACCCAAAGCACCAGCACGCATGCCCACCAGGCGGTGATTCCACGTTTGCGAAACAGATTGGTCTGCGGAACCAACTGGCAGCTCGAGATAGCTCAGTGGTTGAGGCGCGACCATACTGAGTGGAAAGTCCGTGGTCCCAGCCTAACTTTTGTATGTCGAGTGTTCCTATGGGGGCGAGATGGACCGGGTGTTTAGATCGCGAATTTACTGGCCGGAAGGTCCGTGGTTCGAATCCGACCTTCCCCTGTCTAGACTTGGGCAACCTGGCAGTATCCCACCCCTCGTGCAACCTTTTGGTGGCATGGCAGTTAAGCACCAAAAGGGTGCTAGAGCTGAACGATTTCGATTTTCGTTCCTATACGGGCTTCAACGACCTGGCAGTATCTCCATCGTGCATCCTTCAGCTGGCACGGTAGCTTGGCCCCTATAGGGTTTCGCAACCGAGGAACCGTCTAGGTGTAGCACTCTTTCGGCGCCTAGTTACCATGCCAACAGAAGGAGGACCAAGGGCTGGAATACGGCCAGGTTACCCTAGCTCCAACAGCAGCACTCAAGATGCTGAGGTTAGCTTCGAAGCGCAGGCCTTCCGATCTGTAAGCTGGCACCTTAACCACTAAGCTATTTCAAGCGCAGCTGAACGACGAGACAAGGTTCCTATGCGCATCCGACTAAAGGAAGAATGTTCAAATACACCATTCGGAAACGCTGTTACACGTTCAGCCTACCCTGAACTGGCGTTTCCCGGTTTTCCACAGCCCTTCTTCGGATCGGTTTTCATGCAGACTTCTGTTTCTCCACCACGAAGCGAGTGAATTACGATTTTTCTTTATTTTGTTACACGTTCAGCCTACCCTGAACTGGCTTTTCCCGGTTTTCCACAACCCTTCTTCTGATCGATTTTCATGCAGACTTCTGTTCCTCTCCACCACGAAGCGAGTGGATTACGATTTTTCTTTATTTACACACCATATTCGGTGCCCAACAACGCAAGGTAGGTAGTATCTCATCCCTCGTGCTTTCCTCGGGGGGCACGCTAGCTAGGCATCGACAGAATGCTCCGCTGAAAGATTATTGTATTTACAATAGGGTTAGGTCGAGGTCGAAAGTACAGCACAATCAATATAATCGACAATAATAAGTTGTGTTGCATCGTCATGTCGATGAACTTCTTCGATTAATCAGTGAAGCTGGCGATAGCGTGGTCTAACTTTGTTTCCATGTCATACACTTATCTACTTCCAACGCTTCGGTAATTAAAATGGGACAAAACAACCAGATCACCTGACCTTCAAAGCACAGGATGTGAACGGACCCAGGTTGTTGACCTGTTGAGTTTCCTGCGTTCCAGCATTGCTAGTTCGCTACAGTACACGGGCGAAATGGCTCTTGCGCCAGCGATCATAGCACAAATAGTAAGGCTGAAGGCAGAGGAATAATCTGGGAAATATCCAGGAGACTTTGCAGATACAATATTCAACAGACCTTCGGTAAAATTAATAGCCCATTTGTGTTGCTTCCCTCCTTCCCGTCTCTCTGTACTCAGGCTGCCAAGCAAATACATGCGTAGAGCTCTTTCATCAAAATCAATAATGATGAACTGGCCTCGTCCCGGAATGTTTTTTGCCGTCTTCACTTTACTAATTAATCCACCCACAATGCGTTACTCACGTGTCATGTCAGCTTTTCAAGTCGACTCACGTGACAACTAAGATGGCAGTAGCCGATCCAAACCGACTCAGTGATCAATGCAATGTTTTGGTGCACACACTGCATCGATGCGACATCAAACCCACGTACTTTGTACGTAACCATTAGGTTGATATAGCGCCTTCAAAGTATGTCAGCTGCTGTCGGGCTGCACGAAGCACCGATTGAATCAGCACCTGAATACGCTCATTGATATTCTTTTCAGTTGTTTGCTGCGTTGCCCCCTCTAACACACCATTGTTCGCGAAAACTACTCCATATACATGTCTCTCCCGTCTGTTCTCCAGCCTACAATTCGACCCGGCACCGCGCCGTGGGGAACCGCATGTGTCCCGCCGCACACCAGACTATTTCTTGTAACCACTGCTTCCGGTTTCCCACACGCCTTCCGATCCATTTCCCAATCATCTCCATCTTCGCTCCGGTCCCTGGTTCACACCACCCAGGCTACGATTGTTCTCAATGAATGGAGCGGCTCACTTAGTTATCGCTTTGTACTTGTAATTATTCCAAATTAGTACCACTGTCTTTGCATACGAGCGCGCACGTCCATTTGCCCTCCCCCCACAAAAGACCGCGGTTGTTCCACATACCCAGCGCATTCACCCCTTTTATCTCACCGCCCGGAAACCAAAGTCCCACTCGGAAGAACGTTTTACGCGGAGTTCGACTAGGACGTTCATTCTCGTTCATTCTTCATTCAACCATCCGCTCATGTGGTGCATATATCTGTGCGTTTTTTCTTCGTTTTTCTTGGTTTTGACGATACCCGGCACGATCGTGTATCACTCGCCGGCAGATGCATTGGTCGTCAACGTGGGCACCTCTGATTGAGTTTTCTTGGTTATGAGATTATCGTTCAATTGCACATGCTTCCTGGCCACCTTGAGTTTCTAGCGCTGACTTGTCCTTATCTTCTCTACCCGTCCACTTGCATGTTCTCCCTAATTTTCCGCTCCCACTTATTCTCGTCTTCAAATATGCCGCCTTTCTGGGTCTGCTGACGTTTTTATTACAAAATTGCCATCCGATCTGTCTCACTTGAAGCGCGCATGGTCACCTTTCGGTCTGCACACGAGCCCAAGGCATGTAATAAACAGGTTCTTATGGACCAGGTGTTTTGCCGTTTTATTCCATCTACCACTGGTTTTGCGCCTGAAGCATCTCTGGGCTGGAACACTCGAGGTAAATACCGGTCGATCAATGTTTCATCTGCTAGTAAGCTGGTTGGTAGCTGTGTAGTGAACTGCGACACTTCATGCGTGCCTGACTGTGAAATGTTACACCAACAATCGGAACCACCAGGTTGATCCCGGGTCGGATAGCTGGGAACTCTACCCACAGCCTTTCGTCTGTGAGCGCCATCCTGTGCTGGTTGGTTAGCGTGACTCCAAAAAAGACTGCCATTTCACGGAGTGTCAAAAGTTCTTGGAATCAGAACCACTATCACGACAGGTGATTGCGTGTGACTAAAAACGTTGTGGTGTTTGAAGTCAATTCCTTTCGCTCTTTGCTTCTTCCCACCAATGTCTTTGTACTGGCATGAAGCGTTCGTGTTAACGCTACTGTTGCTAAAGACCAAAATACCAAGTCCATTTGAGTTGGGTTTCAGGTAGGAGACACCGGGTAGTGCATACGTCTTTGTTAGCGCAACATTGCCGTCGCGAAGAGACAACTGCATGATGGTTTATGTACATTCACTACCCTTTTATACTAGGTCGACCGGTCGATGAAGGACTGGTCCTTTAGGTTAGGAGTGGGAACGTGTGGTGACTTACTCCGTAGAAATGTCGACTCCCTGGCAGTCTTACATCGTTATCATCAACAATTACATCACATCAGTGTTTAACACTGATGCTTCGCTGCCGTACAGCCATAATTTATTTGAAAACCTTATTGTGAAGAGAGGCATAAAAAGTGCTAGCCTAGCACACTCATCTCAGATAGAAACTGACGATAAGAACGCCAATGACGTCGATTGGCAGCCATATCTTCCAGCGTCCCCAATCAGGTGCACTGGGGATCACAAGGTCTCCGCCCTGGAAGGCGAGTAGCACTCAGAGAATCCAGACTTTTCTTAATCTGTTTCATAACCCCTGCCAGATTAAAGTTCGGTCAGCTTTCTTGCGCCACTTTGAATTGAACATGCAAAACAGAACGCCCGTATCGTTGGGTCGAAGTTTTTTGATAAATACTCAGCTAGCTTTTCAGTCGCATTCCCGATTCGCAACGGAGTCCTGGGTAGTGAACTTGGAACCCTCGACGGCTTCGAAAATGAACGAATACCTGTTACCCCTCAAGCGTAACGGAGCTACTTACGCTAACGAACTCCAGTCTGTTCTGTTCAAAGATAGAGTTGAAATCCTCGGTCGATTGATTCTTGTCTGACCTTGTTTGCCTCTATCCAGGAGGAAGGGGCTGTCCAGAATGATTGGAGTGATTCGATCATTGTGCCCATTTGCAGAAAAAGGTTCTTGCAAAATCAATTAATCAACTTACCAGCTATAAATCGTGTAGCGTAGTTACAATGATTCCAGATGCTACAGTTTCAGTCACCGGAAAGTGGGAGTGTGGGACATACAGCCAAGCCTTGGAGGTGATGGTATGTTTAGGTAGTTTGCATTGAAGACGATAGCTTTGGTCCATGAGCGCCACTGACTGCACGCTTGGATCATTTCTACCGTTGTAATTAATCCTCGGTGAGTTGAGTCCCGGGGTCCCCATCCAAGGAGGCGGAGGTTGTGGCTCAGTTTACTAGTTGGCGTTTCGCCAGGCCATACACTGTCCACCTCTCGGTCGCTTCCACTCAGCACAGGACTGGCGAGCCAGACGGTCTTCTGACATGTAGAGTACCTCCTAACCAGCGTAACCTATGGAGCACGGGAGAGTTCGTTCTTCCTAGGACTATCTGGCATACCTCAGCATTACTAATCTGATGTCCGCATCATACTCGACCAAGGGCTCGGAGACACCGATGGTCGAACACTGATATTTTTCGAATGTCCTCTGCTCGTAGAGGCCATGTCTCTGGATCCTACTGCCGAAGTGTAAACTGCCGTTGTCAGGCGAACTGACGTCAAGTTGGTACCATCGGTGTCGTAAGGCGGCAAAAGATGCACTGGCTTTCCCGATCCGAGAAGTATCCTCACCTCCAGCCATTCCACTGGAACTCATACGAATGCTGACCTTTCCTAACCGGTCCTACCTTGGGAGAAGGCAGCATCGCTGCTTGCATAAACAAGACTGTGCTGGTCTCCTGAATGGAACGTTTTAGTGCTTTCACACTACTATCGTAGAAGATAGTACGGTTTTTTGACAAAATCAAATCGTTCAGCTGTACTACCCTTTCAGTGCCTAGCTGCCATCCCAATAAAATGAAGAAAGAGGGCTGAGATACTGCCAAATTGCCCAAGTCTAGGCAGGAGCGGTTGAGATGCCGAGGTCGGGGTTTGAACCACGGGCCTTTCGGTCCGTAAGCTGGCCCCTTAACCACTGAGCTCTGCCTAGTCCAGTATAGCTCAGAGGCGCTCAGAAGCCCGACCGCCGCGACAAGGCGTTAGCTTTCGGTCGGGACAGGTTCTCGTGGTGAATGTGGCAATCTCAGAAGACATGGCTTGACCCCTGTTGTAATTAGACTCCGCGTCGCTTACTTTGCTTCATTTTACGAAGGTACGTCATGAGGGGATCCGGGAACAACCAGCAGGATTTCGGGCTTGGAGAGACTGTGCGGACCATTTCCACACGCTTCATCAAGTGCCAGAACGGCGATATGCGTCCTACAGTCTTGATGTCCTTGACTTCAAGAGTGCGTTGAATTCTGTTGAGATGCTCGTTGTTTTCAACACGATTGCGCAACTGACTGTGCTCCAGAAGTTCGTTAAATCGTGCACTGTTTGTATTCACATACTTGTGTGCGTGCGTAAGTGTATGGAGAGCTCTTCAAAAGCTTTCCTACAAGGAGTGGTTTCCGACAAACGTGTCCGCTTCCTCAATTTTGGTTTGATTTCTCCAAACCGATGAAGTGGTGGGACGAACTTTGGGAGGTCCCCAAATCCCCATTGTTTAGACCTCTCCTAGTGCGCACTTTTTTGACCTTGCATGTGCGAGTGACATTGTTTTCTGTTTTTAAAAGGAAGAAAACGAGGCACCAGCATTAGATGATAAGGCCAATGTCATCCAGTCGTTCGGCAAATTCACACCGTAGATTTCAACATGCCTCTATGCATTAAAGGAGTGCCACTGGAATTTTTGGAACGGTGTACATATATCGGAAGTTACGTTAGCCCTCACGGCATTGTGGCAGACGAAATCAAAGCACAAATCTGAAAGGATAGCATTGATTCTACCAACTTGCACCACCTGTGGCGTCAAAAAGGCATCTAACCGGGTCTCAAAGGAAAGACTCGTGTATCAGAGGGACTATTGTTGTACGGCTGCGTGACTTGCCCACTTCTGAAACATCTTCAGGTCTTTGTCCACCCAACTATAGCTGGAATCGACTGGAACCTTGGGAATGAGGTGATCAGGACACGGGTGTTTCGTGAAGCAGAACATACTTCATTGATTTAGTGTATCGAGCACCATAAGCTAAATTGGCTGGGCTGTGTTATGCTTGTCGAGTTACCGCCTGCCGAGAAGATCGATGTGAACAAAATACGACATTGTAGAACGGAATAAAGAGTGTGACGAAACGTTTGAGGGCCGTTGGTGCTGTTAGCCTTCTGGAATGGGCCCATGTTACCCTCTTCATGTTTGGCTGAAAATACTGGACGACGTGGCGGTTAACCGATGTCAGTGGCGCTCATTCCCGTCAGTTTCTATCCAGATTGTTTGATTGAATGCTGGAGGTATAAGCACCTCGGATCCTTGTGGTTGGCTGATCTTCAGTGCTACTCTTTGTCCCGTTTTTTATTAAGGTTTTAGTCAAGTATAGCGACGTTATCTATAGAGGAAGATGTCGGTAGCTCATGCAGTTGAGATGGTCGTTGGCTTTTTCGCTGAGCTGGGCAATTCGATTGCAAACGTCCGATCACCAATCGAGGTGACATCATCAGTGCGCTGTTAAGGCGCGTAGAGATGGGTTGATGGTTAGGCACACCCATCGCTACGTGATGAAACGTTTGCAATCGAACTACTCAGCTCAGAGAACAAGCCAACGACCACACCAACGTTTGTACGACAGTGAAATAACACTGTTCTCAGCTAGCTTTTGTTCCTAGTAGTAGTGATGATGACGAGAACCGTTGTTAGTTTTGTTTCTTTAAGGTCGTGTCCAACTCGTTCTGGTTCGGGCAGTTCAGTCTTGGCAGGATCAATTAGGTCAGTTCGTCGTGAGGCGGAGATCATTGAGTTCGGGCTTGAGACCCGCATCAGCATTCAAACCCCGGACTCTGACATAAGTGCAGAGCATACTTATACTTGGCGCTTCCGAAATGTCTCACCTCATCTTTTTTTTTGCCACGAACGACGACTCGTTGACTGTCTAGGCTGTGGCGATCGATAGGCCACCCGTCATTTCTACACTTTCATGAGTGACCGATATAAGGCATGCCGAAATCCTAGGTATATTGCATACTGTTCAAAAGGTGTCTGATTTTTAGGGTTATGATGTCCGTTCTAGTGATCCCGCTACTGTCCAGATTCTTCCGAAACGCTACCAACGCCGGATTGTTATCCGACAAGGGGATATGTATTGGTAAGCAGCTGAGTATATCCTGCTTTAGTGCTCACGTGATTGGGTTACCAAACATGGCGTTTCGGACGCTTTGGTGGTCTTGTTTCGTCAAACGTTTGACTGGACTATTCCGCACTAACACCGGAGAGGAAACCAGCCCTGTCATACAGAGGACTTCAGCTGTTCTGAAGACTGCTTTTCCGCAAATTACCGTCCTTTTTGTCCGATAGGCCAATATAAAACATCCGTAAAGCGATTTATCTCGAAATTCTGCTGGGTTCTTATCCCAAGTCCCGCGTCGTCCAGCAAACTAGGCTGCCCGTCAGCATGACATGTCTGGAATCTGAATGAAGTCCGATTAAGTCTCCCCTTTATGATGCTCAAATAAGATATACAAAAAACATTGCTCGAGTCTGACGGGAAC